TGCTGCGTAAGGTGTTTCATATGACGTAATAATGAAAATGTAATACCATCGAGAACTAACCTGTTCAGCTATTTTTGTTATTGTTAACGCCAAGAAATAAGAACTAATATTATACCATCCATTAAAGCATTCCCGCTCTACGAGTACAAGTACTTCAGGAACTGTAAAAAGAAAAACGAATAATGACATTGGACGCAATCGGTTTGTTCATCTACGCATGTCGATTAATTTCATCTGATTAATCGTATCTCTACGTGAATTAAGTTTTTAGAAAGGAACACGATGAATTTGTTAAATGTTAGAGCAAGATACAAACTTTATGATCATTAGAAGTATCAGAATGTAACACAAGATTATCGGCTCTACATTCATGAAATACTCATGAATATATTGTCAACGCCCTTTACATTTATAGTAGAAACAATTGATTTTCTGCTACCTTCAATCTTGTTACTCNATAAGAACTAATATTATACCATCCATTAAAGCATTCCCGCTCTACGAGTATAAGTACTTCAGGAACTGTAACAAGAAGAACGAATAATGACATTGGACGCAATCGATTTGTTCATCTATGCATGTCGATTATTTTCAACTGATTAATCGTGTCTCTACGTGAATTAAGTTTTTAGAAAGGAACACGATGAATTTGTTAAATGTTACAGCAAGATACAAACTTTATGATCATTAGAAGTATCAGAATGTAACACAAGATTATCGGCTCTACATTCATGAAATACTCATGAATATATTGTCAACGACCTTTACATTTATAGTAGAAACAATTTATTTTCTGCTACCTTCAATCTTGTTATTGTTTTTTTTTTCTACAAACCAATTCTTATTACACTCATATAAAGTAGCAAAAGTATCATAGTTATTCTTACACCACAGAAGTATGGGCAGCGTAGGTATGTAGAGGAATATCAAAACAGTCGTAAAACAAAAGCCCAAATTGTAGATACTCTTGTATCCGTCGTAACCCATGTCATTGAAAGTTCCGCCAATAATGAATCCCAAGAAAACGTACAAATATATCTTCAGGTACAGATGGTCCTATGAATACACATAGAAATCTCTTACTTCCACGTTCGTTTTGATAACTTTATGGACCAATGTCATGGAAATATTAATTCGTGCGTATCATGTACTTTTACCGACCTGACATTTCTCTTTCATTAGAGATACAATTATCTTAGCAAACACCAACTAACAATAACATAACATTAAAATTATAATTTCTCACTCAATAATGTATCGTAAATGCAATATATTACTCATTTATGTAACATATATAAGATAACAGTTAAATTGTGGAAAAGGAAATTGTAACATTGATGTTATATTGTTATTAATTGGTGTTTGCTACGATGTTCATTTCAAAATCATTCAATACTGAATTTCATCAATTTATGGTATGTCATCAATTTATGGATTTCTTTCGCACTCCGTTGTTTTTTACTTGCCAATTGTAATCAGCAAAACCCAATATACACTTGATCTTACCCTGTTCCGACAGAGCTGCAGCATCATTCTGTGCATTAGTATGCTGAAATGATCGAAACATAATTGTCTCGGATAATTTTTCCTCTCAAGTTCGAAATCCTGTTTCGAGCGGTAGACCTGCAGAATTGGTGCTTTCATTTCCATACAAGCGATCATTCGTTCAGTCAGATCGAAATCATGTTCGCCTGATGAGATTTCTATCACTGAAACAATTGTAGTGTAATGATATTAAGTGATATCTCGGTATGTATATTTGAACGCGATATTATATTATTTAAATTTTTCTATACAATTAAGTGTAAATTAAAAAATATACGCAATTAAAAGGTTAATGTCTTTCATTCCCTTTCTTTCTTCTCTGAAAAACATTAATATAAAAATATTACGAAATATTATAAAATATTTATCAAGTACGATGAAAGTAAAACGTGTATTAATAAACAAACCCAGTACAATGTTACATTGTGAGCAAATAATTATCCTGTACATCAGATCAGACGTTTATTATTATCTACGTATTCTGCGACTTGTACCACTTCTCAGATAACAATTTAATGTAATATATGAATCTATTCTCTTGAAATGCTTAATACTATTATTTTGGGCGTACAATATTGGCAGAAATCAGTTTAATTTAGAGTAATTTACAATTTATAGTAATTTAACGTGCGATCGCTTTTTTGAAGCACATTATAGACATTCTTGTAAACTTACCGAAATCTGCGAGATTGTAATGTCTCGGACATTCTATGTCCACGCTTTGTAGATATGTCACTAGGTTGCTCGCACTGCCTCTGTAAATGCATTGTCCTGCAGTGATGACGTAGACGTGGTCAAATTTTTGAAATATTTTCGCGCTGGGGGTGTGTATCGAACATATGACAGTATGTCCATTATGCGCCAATTTTTGCAGAAGCTCGATACATTGAGAAGAAGACAGTTCATCCAAACCACTGAAAGAAAGTTCAATCAACAATATATTTACGCTTATAATGTGTTTCAAAAATTAACGTGCGAGAGAACATTATTTAGCTTACTCTCATCGAAAGGAAATAATTGTAACGCTTTAATTTATAACGGGTGCGTTTCGCGATTGTTTGGGATATTTGCTTAATACCTTTCAAATGCGAGAAACAATGTTGAAACATTTCTTCANCTATCGAATGTATCACTTATTATCAAATATTTGCCTTTTGTCTAGATGTGAATATTCGCGCGTGTATTCATCTCTATTAGAGAATTCTTCACACTTTTAACATGTTTCGATGAACAGTCGTCTACTTACGTATTCTTAAAAGATAATATTATGTGACAAATTTTTAATTTCTTGTACATTCCCTTTATTATAAATGCATAATGATACGTAAATGCGCAGTGCTAATTGTCTTGAAAAATTAATATTTCCAAAGTGCTGACTGCGTAAAAGGAGAAATAGATACAAAGAACAGCAGAGGAGATGCAGAAAATACATAGTGTTCTCGACCAATTTTCCTTTTTATATCGAAGAGCGTGTAGACCTTTCATCGGAATAAG